ATTCATCCCCGGACCTAACAAAGAGCTCCTTCACAGGCGGTGAATGTGGATTCTCTCTGTCAAAAAAATGGACGAAACCATTCATTCAAAGGGGTGTTTGACTGGATTACCTGTGAATGAACAATAAAGGAGGATAAATACACAATATTTGCTCATTCGGTGCCAAGGAATATATGAAAAATCGAAATAAAGCAGGCTAATCTGTGTTTTGATCAATGAGCCCAACGCTGCGGACTCAACAGTCCTGTACACTTCCGTCGATTTTCTGTGTTTCTCCTGACCACCTTCCTCTGGTTCTAAACTTATACAGCTTAGAGGAGCCGTTTACTGGATTTCAAATTATACCTGAAGACTTTACCTCCCTAGGTAAACTGGACAATCCTGATATAAGCTGTGAACGACTGTATGAAGGATCATGATGGATAAGCGCTGGTCTGTGAAAATGAGGAGGAAATCAATAGGAGATTTTTTCCATCCCTCCATCAATCTGTCATTGCGTCGTCCACGCTGGCTTTGGTAATAGACTGGGAGTTTGTGAAGCCCTACTGTTTCCCCTCCACTTCTGAGTTTATCACTCAGTGCTACTGTCTACATGCTGTTCGTTTTGGAAAATCCCCCCCGCAGGTCAAAGCTCACCCTCTCACCGTCTACACCTACTTGAGCCAGATATCTTTTTATTTGTCGGCATGCTCAATGTATTTTGTGGGAGCTTTGTATTGAAAGTAACTGTATATATTTCTGTATATATACATATAGATACATATTAAAAGATATCATATGAAGATCTAACATGCCCATAAACCTGTTCAGTGGGACTATATTGATGGTCTTTGTTCCTCGGACAACAAGTACAATTAATCCTGAATTTAAAGCTGTTTGTGGAAGTAGATATTCTCTCAATGTAATTGAAGACCTGCTTTTTTTCTTTTGCTTGACGACTTTTTCCGATGAATCTAATATATTTTTTAAAATTCACTAAACAGTTTTGCAGAAAAAAAGCATTACAGCCCAAACAAAATACGCTGAATTAGTCATGGGTATTTAAGTCATTGTCATTCATTTACAATGCAAACAAACTCATTTTCATGCAAATTAGGCTTATTAAAAACTGTGGATTATTCAAAGAACTATTTACTTGTTGAAATTAATGTTGTGCTACTACATTTTATGTTGATCATGACAGTACTAATTCAAAAGAGATGCTGTGACACATCAAGTCAACTAAGAATTAGTGCAGATTCAAGGCAAGTAATATGTTGTCGGCTCAGATTGTGTGGGGTCTTGGCCTAAACATTTTAAAATTAGTATTCTTCATTAAGATGACAGAAAAACCAAAACAAAGACTGCATACAGTATATACAAGCATCACACTTCACAAAATATCAGTCATCTTGATCTCCATTTGAATTCTAATGCTGAGTTCAGACTGCATAAATTTAGCCCCGATTTTGACTAGCCGACAGGTTTTGAGAAATCGCAGGCAATCGGTGCTCATTCATGTGAGAAACAATCACACAGTATGAACTATCAAAGACGCGATCTGAAAGAATCGCAGATAAGTCATCAACACCCGTCAGATATTTGGCATGCTAAATATCTGGACCTGTCAGTGATTCAAAATCATGCCGTGTGAAATGTGTTTGGTTAAAATGAACATTGGCGATCACCTACAGCCTATGACAGAGCGGCATTCACTCGTATGAGTATCTGTAGACCAGTGAGAGGTTGGCTGAGAAGTTCAATTTGCTTCTTCTCAGTCTATTTGGACTCAAGAAATGGAGTAGTGTAAATTTGGCAGGATTACTCGTGTCCGTTTGACTTGTCGTCGGAGCAATATCATAGCCGGGTTGAAAAAGAAAAAAAAGTTGAGGAAAATGTGCTAATTCCCTTCAAAGGCCAGGGGCCTTATGTAACAACGCTGCGTACGCACAAAAACTTTGCATATGCCATGTTTCACGCTCACATTTGGATTTAATTACGATGAAATGAAAGTGAGAATGCGTTGGTCCACAGCATCTTCATGTCTGGCGTACATGCATTTCTTGTGTGTTTGTTTTATTTTCATTGGCAACTCCTAGGGGCAATTTTGTTAAATTGCACACTACAAAGTATCTTTGAGCCGTGCAATGGCAGCTGTATGAGACAGGATCATCTGCATCTCTAGCAGGTATGTAAGGTTTCCATACCATACAGTTGACCAGCTAAACATTAAAGCGCAACGTGCAGCGATCGCCGGTTTTCCTAATGTAATCGAAGTGATCGACTGCATGCACATTGCTATAAGGGCGCCATATAAAGACGAATATGCATACGTGAATCAGAAACATTTCCATTCAATAAACGGGCAAATAATATGTGATGCTTAAATGTACTTAACATAAAACACAAACTTATTAATGAATCCTACTTGTCTTCCTCGTGATAAAGAGTAGGCAAAGTCTGATATGTAATGGGGGAAAAAAGAAAAATAAGTTCATCAGACGCTGGATTCTAACAGGGTTCAGGAATGATAGTGTCAAAACATTTTGCCATGCACTTAACAACCTATCCCACTTGCGCTGCTAAAGTCTGCTCAACTATTACTCTATTAGCTCTTTCCAACGAGATGTCCAACTAGACCCCACTGCGTTACCACGTCTGCCAAATGATGTTGTTATTTGGTTGGTTTTAGGTTGTGTTAGAAAGTGACCAAACTCCAACGTCATATTGACGTCAAATAGTGACATTTATTCGTCAGGTATGGCAACCAAAATACATTTGATAGACATCATACTGGTAACATCCACACTGTGTCAAGCTGTAACATTATTAGATGTTGATATTTGGTTGCTTTTAGCTTAGATGTTGGACATTGACATCGTCGGCCTGACGTTAAGTTCTGACATCAACGCGATTTTCATTTCCAAACAAAATGTAACTTTCCGACAACATTGGGGTACAACATCAATCTTGTGCCTGCTGGGTGTTTAATGTCATTTCGGTCATCACGCAGTAAACATCCGTCATCTTCTCATCTGTTACATGCCTCTAAACAGTCTTTGGGTCAATGTGAATTTCTGATTTTTATCTTTTAATGTTTTCAAACAGTTTACTGCTATTATAAATTGCCCATGTCTTGAGGTAGTTTATTATGATGCGATTTACCTTCTATGTGCGGTTTGATTGGACAAGAATCACAGGACTAATTTTTAGAATCCCCATAGACAAGAAAAAATAAAGTAGCAATTTAACTGCAAGTTGAAGGAAAGTAGTGGAGTAAAAGTATCAATACAGCACAAAAAATTTACTCAAGGAATAGTAAAAGTACACATTCTTAAAACTACTTTTACAGTACAAATTACAGTTCCTGAAAAAAACTACTCAATTACAGTAATTTGAGTATTGTAATTTGTTACTTTACACCACTGCGCTTGTGTACCAGTGGTTGTGAGACGTGGTTTGCAGATCGGGACAAAGTTGGCGGCGATTCTTCCTATTTTAAACTCATGCAGTGTGAAACCAACTGTCGCCGATCTGTCTTACACTGTAAACACAACACAGACTAAACGCTACCCCAGATAGGTAAGCAGTGTGAAAACATCTGTGATGCGGCTACTTTTAAATCCGTGCAGTCTGAACTCGGCATAAGTGGCACATGTCATTATCAAAATATTCATGGCATGAAATGCTCAGGTAAGATGACATAAGATCTGTCTGTGCCATCTAGACTTCTTTATTCACTTTCAATCTTGTGCATAAACTCCAGTCAAACCCCTTTTCCGCCAGCATGAACTGGGTGCATGCTCAGAGCTAATGCTATTAACAGTTTGGAGTTGGTTCAACTGGCAAGCCTTCTAAGTACCGGTTTGCTTTTCCATGGGATAGAAAGCCACCACAGAACCTGATTTGGCGTCTGTTAATACGTCTCCTCTTTCTCAGCAACACAAAAGTGGAAGCACCAAATACAAAAACACCATCAATAAAGGTATATGCTTAATAACTGTTAAAGTCTGCATTAACTGATAAGACTTTTTTCCACAATATGATGACAATGTATTTGTAAAAAAACAAATGAAATATTGAGTAGGGGACGGAGTTTTATTTTTGTGCTCCATCTCTCTTTTCTTTCACTCAAACTAACGATGGAAGGACGTGGCTAAGCATGTTTCACCTGAGCTGTCAAACTGATATCATCAGAGAAGGATTGCCATTCCAGAGTTGAAGAAACTGGTTAAATTGTGATTAAAGCCTACCAAAACGAACAGCTTACCAAAACAAGTAGTAATGATTACCAAACAAACTTGTTAAATGTTCACCTTAAGACTAACAATGTAGCAAAGTAATGATATTAGATTTTGATTTCATGCAGACTTTGGTTTTGCAAAACTATTATGAATCCAATGACATAGCTGGCATAGCTACGTTTTTATGGACATAGATTACAAGCAAACGTACGGTGGCCGAGAAAACTTAACACACTGTAGTTTAAGAAAGCACATGCAATTACAAAAAAAAACATCAGCAAATTAAGAAACAATCTTCATCAGTTTGACAGCACACGTGTGGTGAATTCTCAACTCAAACAACTGAAGAAATGTGCTGCATTTATTAAGTGCACTGCATACTATTAAAACAATGCTTCACATTTAATCATCAGTTTATTTAGGCTAATAATTTACAAAAGACAATGAAATTGTGTAATCAGGATATTAAAATAAACTTCAAGAGTTCACACAGAGATGATGATTGATTATAAAGCTTATTTGGCATGCTGTGTCAGGAGAGAACCCTGAGCTCATAAGATCCTCAAGCCTGGGGCTCCCTCCTGTTTGCAAGACGAGAGGGGAGTTTGAGCTCAGGTATATCTTGAGAACTTCCCTGCTGTAGTGGCTAATGAACAGATAGTGATTGCTCTTAAGAGACAACTACTTACTAGGTGCATGCCTATTACCATGCCTATGCCGATTTGGATTAGTCAATTAACTTAAGTTGCATGTTTTTTGGACGGTGGGAGAAAACCGGAGAATCTAGAGGAAACCCACGTGAGCAAGGGGAGAACGTGTGAACTTGGCACAGAAACGTCGGTTGGTTAAGGACTAGAACCAGTGACATTCTTGCTGTGAGGCAACAGTGCTAACCACTGGGCCACCATGCCACCCATCTAGAAAAGGAGGAGGAGTAGGGGTGAAAGGGGGATTCTTCAAAAACAAAGATGGCTGTTATATGGAACTTGAGGTATTTTTAGAAGCCTAGGAGTTGTCTGATTGGTGAATCATAAATTGAATGTTTCGGGACAACTGCAAGCAATCATAAGCTTGTGATCCTCTCGAAGTCAGCATAAATAAACTTCACAAAAAAAAAAAAAAAACTCACTGAGCAACAGTCATGACATAATAACACATCCATATCTCAGTAGAGTACATCATGTTTTTGGGTCCCCTTGAAACATTTCCATTGTGTTACAATGATATTTGCATGTGTTGTGACAAAATGCAGCACAATTTTTTCAGTTGTTTGAGATGAGAATTTGCCACATGAGTGCTGTCAAACTGATGAAGATTGTTTCTTAATTTGCTGGGGGTTTTGTAATTGCATGTGTTTTCTTAAGTTGCAGGGTATTAAGCTCTATCAGCCACCATACAAGAGTGTTGATGCATCTTGTTGTAATTTGTATAGCATACTGTATATTTGTAAGCTGCCATTTAAAAAATGGTGCCTAAAACAGTTCCTTTTGTTGGTTAGAGCTACACCAAAGAACCAATTTGGAACTAAGCTCTAGATCTAACAAGCCCGACAGATGCTTACTTTTGACTTGGTGTGTCACAGCCCTAATGATCAAGT